TCTATGCCTCACCCCACCTCCTCCCTCCCGTGCTTGTTGGTTTTTTACATCAATGGCCTTCACCAGGACCTAGGTGAAGGTTGTGGACTTAATTGTTGGATTATAAGTCTTACCATGTCCAAAGCTTATGTATGTCGAATTGCAGAGACAAATTTTATAATTATTTGTCAAAATTGTTAAATATAATTTATCAAATTTATTCTTTAATCAAATGATAAGTCTGCCACTGTATATAAAGGATACCTCCTCCATCCTAAATTATAAGTTATTTTAAGAATTTTAGAGAGTCAAAGCATCAGTTTAACCAAATTTATATGATAAGATAATAACATTTATGATGCCAACTAAGTATCATTAGATTCTTTATCAGTTATATTTTCATAGTATACCTATTTGATGTAAAAAAATCTTTATAATTTTTTTTATAAATTTGATCAAACTTGAGATGCTTTGACTCTCCAAAATTCTTGGAATGACTTATAATTTGCAATGGAGGGAGTATTAGATTTAATTTGCTATTTAGCCTAAATTTCATGGCAAAGCTCCTGCTATCTTTTTGTGGTTTGTTGAATTGTTGTGGGGCAATATATAGGCAGGGGCTGTTGTAGCCTGTAGGAAAAAGCGGAAATTTTATTTTATTTTTTAAGCAGAAGGTTAATTAAGGACAAGTTCGAATGGTAAAGACGCAATTGTAATTTCTTTTTTCTTCTATTCTACACACAGGCATACAAAATATATTTTTCATCTAGGGAAATCCATTTTTACCATTTGATTGATAGGCACTAATTCTCGGTAGCGCTGGACCGCTGGTGGGCAAGAAGCGAGAAGTCCTACACCGGCTCTTTTCTAGAAAAACGGGCGTGCAGTACAACTCCTTCAGTAGGGTGTTATTGAAGTAGCCCAATATCACTTTCTAGGTTTAGTAGGGGAGATACTGTAGCAGTACCATAATATATCTTCTACAATACTCATATGAAAGGTGGGTCTTACGAAAATGTAAGAGAAAATATGGCTGAAAAGTGGTAGTTAGGATGGTTCCGACGGTATTGGGGAGTTGTATCTTCCTCTCTTTTTTGAGGGAAGATGAGAGAAATATTGGTGGCTACCAAAAAAAGAAAGAGCTATTAGGAAACTGCTGGACCAATGAAAAAACATAGTTGTCTCTAATATGACAGTTTTCCTCTTCCTTGGGTATGCGCTCCGCCTCGTCCGACCCTTGGGTCTGCGTTTCGCCTCGTCCGGCCTCTGGGGGAGGACTCCGCCTCGCCCGACCCTAAGGCTGCGGGCTCCGCCTCGCCCGACGGAGACCCATATCGTCGCCAACCACTCCAGGTCCAAGCATATGGGCTCGAGTCAAAGCTCTGACACCAGAGAAGAGACCGTCACGCCCCGATGTAACCTGTGGCCTTGACGGGCCATACCGGAGGATTCACATCAAGAACAGCGCGGGGCGTACCGATGTTGTTCTACCTACCCCCGTACGAACACTGACGGACGCATCAGTTCACTATGACGTTCGCCAGGACGAAGTGGAGCGCCATGACCGGCATATGACGCCTGCGCATGGCGCTAACGATGGACAGGACCGCGACGCGAAGCCGTCTCTGTTGACATCTACATGGTCGGCGGGACCTACATGAAGGAGAAGGACCCGACGATTCTGAAGGCCTTCGGCTCTCTCTCTCTCTCGTTCTTCTTTTTCCTCCGCTGTAACGCATGCTTTTCCTTGACCTATAAAAGAGAAAGCACGGCGTCCCATAAGGGGCATCGCAACACATCACATCGATTCAGGCTTGATCCGATCGAATCATCACGAACACACGGTCGAGTAGCAACCGAGCTCTTGGCACCCGTTCACTCTTTCCACCGGAGACTTAGGACCTGTCCCTCTCTCGCGCCGTTTGTAACCCATACTATGAACTTTCAGTGCTAGTAACACGAGCAGCAACAACGAACTAGATGTAGGGACATTTTACCCGAACCAATATAAATCTCGTGTCCTCTAAGCACACTATCCGAGCCAGACGCGCAATATTAGAAATTTACTTGTCGGTGGCAACTCAAAACACCGACATGTATCTTCCCCTTTCTTTGAGGGAAGATAAGAGAAATATTGATGGCTAAAAAAAAAAAGAAGAGTTATTGAAAAACTGCTGGAGCAATAAAAAAAATATAGTTATCTCTAATATGATAATTTTATGAGGAACTGCTGCATATGCTCTCATTGCTTGTGGAGAAGAGTACTCCTTCCGTTTCGACCTGCCGCTTCGAGTTTGGACGCACGCGCGGACGTGGCTCGCCGTCGGCACCGCCCCGGACCCTCAAAGCTCCTCTGCCCACTGCTGTCCCCTTCCCCACGGGAAACGCCGCCGTCCTACGACAGCATTCACGTGCGGCGCAGGGCCGCGGACGCACGGAACGGAAACCCCAGCCCCAGGAAAATAAAAAGAAATCCACTTGCCCTCCCGTTGCCGGAAAAGAAAAGAAAATGCTGCCACACCCACACAACAACAGCGGGCCTCGCTTTTGCTAGTGGCCCCCCTCTCTCTCTCACTCTGGCCCTTGCCTTTATTTTTATGATACTGTACTCCGTATATTGATTAGCAATAACTTGTGGCCTTTGCGATTGCGTCCACACCGACGCACGGCACGGCGCCGTCGTGCGATCTCTTTCCACGTCGTCGCGGCTCGCGACGACAGGGACTGCTGCACCGAACCGGCGGGAGCTGTTCGTGTCACGCCTCTCTCTTTTTCCAGCTTCCCGTGCTCCTCGTGCCGGTGCCTGACTGGCTGTGACCCCATTTCCGTTACGTTTGCGTGCCCAAGAGCCACAGACCACTAGATTTTTTTAGGCCCTTATCGTGCTTCAAGTCGGGTGCTTTTCTATTGCCGGGACGGCGACTCCACTCCAGACACGGCCTGTGAAAGCACGTCCACGTCGCGTCGTACTTGCGTGAATTATTCTGCACTCTCCGCCTTCGGAATCAAAATGGCATGGAATCGTCAATCGTGGATGGATGCTGTTGTGGCCGGGAGAGTACGTGACAGCGGTGACACGACAAGGTGGTAGAGTAACGGTACTGCGCTCGCTTTACCTAGCTGATGTCGACGAGTTCCGGAAAGCAGGAGCGGTTGTTCCATGTTCCTCTGCTCTCCCGTTCCAGGATCCACGTTAATATTGGGTTCGCGAATAAATTTTCTTAGCCACAAATACTACTGAATGGTGCAACGCTATATATCTCTTTCGTTTGCACGGAACGATAGCGAGCCAAAGAAGAAAGAAGAAATAATATATTAGCCAACACAAGGACGAGCAACCCCGTGACCATGCTGCTTCTATTGTGTTGATTGATGCTCAATTTCTTTTGATTGTTGTCATTTTGTTTCTTTTGATATAGGTATAGAGTACGTAGCTCGGTCCATATATTCGAAGTAGCGCTATACGTATATAGATATGATTGCTTCAACTTGCTCGCTACATGTTGCAACGTTTGTAGTGATGTCTTTGTCCTAAGCTAGCCATAGGAATAGGATGCAGGGCAGGCAGGCGCAACCGGCCGTCAACGGTTCCCTACCTCATCCGCCGGTTTTCGCTCGTCTGCTACAACCTACGAAGCGCAAAAGCCCCCAGGCCCAGTTGCAAACTTGCGATGTGTACGCACGGCACTTGGGCCGCGCCGCGCCTGAACCGAGCCAACTCCCGCGAGGCCACACGCCCGCGCTGGGCCGCGCTCCCATCCCAACTCGCAAAAGGAATTCCCTCGCAAAAACACATGGCGCGGCATTACCGGCCCGCCCGCGCCACGGATTGGCTCCCGGCCCAATCGGACGAGGCTTCTTGGCCGCGAGAGACCAAGGCAACGGCCTCTGCTGCCGCCTGCCGCCTGCCGCCTGCCGCCTGCCGTACGCCCCCTCGGCTGTCGCCGTGGCCTCCCGGGACGCCAGCCACTTCCTCCCGAAAGGTGCGTGCCCGTCCCATCCCATCGTCCTAGCGACACCGACCCTTGCTTACCCCAAAAGCTATCCGAGTCAGCACCGGCCAGCAGTTTGTTCATCTTAATTAAACCCAAACCATCGACAGCAGCAGTACAGCGCGTCGCCCAGTTGCATTTGGGTCTCGGGGAATCTCACTCGCTGTACAAGTTGCATTTTCAATGCGTATGTATCCTCTGTCATGACAGGCCAGCTTTAGTATATCTCCATCTCTTCTCACCGGACAGCACATTGCAACATTTTATAAGCAATTGAAGATCGCCCATCGACGGACATGTTATATACGTACATAGATGTACCTGCCGCCGCCTATCTTTTCTTTTCTTCCCTCGAATACATAAAAAGTTTGCACATCTTTATGACCGAGAAATAGTGAAAATTACGCCACGAAGCCACGAACATGACGCACTAGAGAGATTAGTGTTACGAACATGGCACACTAGGTGTATGTACCCACGCCGCCTATCACACACGTGCACCTTAGCCTCGGCGTTAAGAGTTCCGATTGAATACGATACGTCGGTACCGATGCCGCTCTAGTACGTACGTACATTGCAAAGGGACGTACGGTACATGTTCCAAGCAAATGCAACTTGGGAAATTCAATCCTGAAAAGATTCTATTCTACTATACTCCTAGTTGTTATCAAGATGACGAGATCATTCCTAATATATATACCACTTCATATTGAGATGACGAGATAAATTTTTCTCTAATATACGTATACACCTTTGCCTTATGATAGGTTCTGACAGATGACAGCATAACCTCGACATGACGCCATGGCCGGGACGTGATCACATTCTGACCGGCGTGGCTAGGGTTCAAGGACGGCGCGCGTCGCTTCTTTCGTTTTGATTCTATACTAGAGCAACTGGTTTATTTTATTTTTCTATCTACAATCGGCAACGCCAACGACCGATTCCTCGGCGAGAAATCCAGGCCGCAACCGGAACCGGATTCCGGAGTGGTCCTGTCCTGTTGCCCAGTTTCGTGTCGAGGGAGGGATGGCCGCGGTGCTCGGCGCGTTCGTGCCGGATACCGCGGTGCGGTGGCGCGGGCTGGTGACGGGGGAGGTGGCGCGGCGGATGGGCGTCGCGCCGGAGGCGAAGACGCTGGTGGCCAGGCTGGACCGGGTGGGCGCCGCGGTGCGGGACGCCGAGGCGCGGGCCGCGTGTGGGGACGACGGCGCGGCGCGGTGGCTGGCCAATGTGCGCGCTGCCGCTTACGAGGCGGACGGGGCCGTCGACCGGTGCAGGGTCGCCGCGCGCCGGCGCAGGGCCCACGACCAACAGCAGAGCCACCACCACCAGGCAAGATCACCGCTTCATAGAACTGTAATCACGGCGGCACTTCTGCAGGGTCTGTTGCAGGTTCATCCATTGACTCAGATCCTTTCTTCCTGGCCGGCAGGCTCTTCCTCGGCTGCTATCCTCCTGCTGCGACACGGACGTGTCCTGTGGCGACATCGCGGCTGACATCAACAACCTGAACCGGAGGCTGCAGGTCATCCTGAAGGAGAAGCATCGGCTTCAGCTCCGTTCATCCCTCGGTGATCATTACTCAGCGCCCGTGCGCACGGCACATAGGCTCCGAAAACCGGAGAGGACCCGGGCTTCTGACACCGACATCGTTGGCTCAAGGATCGAGGACGACGCTGCCGGGCTCGTCCGACAGCTGACAGAGACGGACGGGAGAACCGGCTGCACGATCGTCGCCATTATCGGCCCCGACGGAATCGGCAAGACCATGCTCGCCAAGAAGGTGTACGGCAGCGAGAGGATACGGCGCGGCTTTGGGGCGAGGTCATGGGTGTGCATTCCCAGAGAGTACAACGAGGCCGCCCTGCTCTCCCTGGTCATCGACTCGTTCGGCGGCGACACAACGGGCGGCGAGAGCTTCGCCGACCTCGAGATGACGCTGGTCAGGCTGGTGGAGGAGAAGAGGTTCTTGCTCGTGCTGGACGACGTGCGGTACGGCGGGGTGTGGGAAGACGTGCTGAGGAGACCGCTCGAGCGCGCTGCTGGACGCGGCAGCAAGGTGGTGATCACGGCGCGGCACGGCAGCATTGCTCGGGAGATGGGCGCCGGCCACGTCCACCGCGTCAAGAAGCTGGACATCGACGATGGCTGGCTGCTGCTTCGCACGGCGGCCTCTATAGTTGACGAGGCCACGGCGGGCGAACTGAAGGGCGTGGGTGAGGGGATAGCTGATAAGTGCGGCGGCGTGCCATTGGCGATCAAGGCTGTTGCCGGCGTCCTGAGGACACGGGATGCGACCGCACAAGAGTGGGGCGAGGTGCTCGCCAGCACGGCGTGGTTGGTGAAGGGGCTCGCGGAGGATGCCATGAAGCCGCTGTACCTGTGCTACGACGACTTGCCGTGCCACCTCAAGCAATGCTTCCTGTACTGCTCGCTGTTCCCCTCTGACCTCGCCGTGGATAGGCGCGTGCTCGTGCAGCTTTGGATAGCTGAAGGCTTCGTGCAGATCAGAGCCGACGCCAGTGTCGAGGAGGTGGCCGAGGAGTACTACGATGAGCTCATCACAAGGCACCTTCTCCAGCCGGCAGAGGGAGATGAACACGGTGGCGCCGCGTGGTGCACCATGCACGACATGCTGCGAGCTCTGGCGCAGCTGCTCGCACATGGTGAGGAGTGGACCGGCGACTCGTACCGACTGTTGGTCGACAGCGATGCCGCCTTCGCACCACGACGTGTTTCACTCCCGGGAAGAAACCTGGCTGCGATACCTGAGAAGATTCTCAAGTTAGAAAGGGTAAGAACGCTGCTTCTTCAAAAGAACCCACTTACAATTGAAGGAAGCATCTTTACAAGATTGCAACATCTTAAAGTATTGGATCTCAGTGAAACAGCAGTCGAGCTCATTCCAGAGAACCTGGGCAATCTTGTTTATTTGAGGTTCCTGAATCTGTCTCACACAAGGATTCAGGCAATTCCAGAATCCATAGGCAACCTGTGGAGCCTGAAATTCCTTCTGCTAAGAGGGTGCAAGACACTGCACGCGCTGCCAAAAGGGATAGAGCATCTGAGAGGACTCAGGGACCTTGACCTTGCCGGCACAGTGATCAATGACGCGGCATTCAGAGTAGGCCATCTGAGAAGCATCACATCACTCTGCTGCTTCACCGTGACGAGCAAAGAGGCGCGTGCTGCTCAGGATAGGAGTGGGTGGCCTCTGGATGAGCTCAAGAACTTATCTCAGCTGAGAACACTGCACATACAGAAGCTTGAGAAGGCTGCTAATCGATCGGAGGCAACTGAGATGTTACTTGATGCCAAGAAAGGCCTCAGGGAGCTCGAGCTGTCGTGCAGCAGCACTGTCAGGCCACTTCAAACACCGGAATTGGTCAGAAAGATTGAGGATATCTTCGAAGAGATGCATCCGCCACTATGCCTGGAGTCACTGAAGCTTGTAAACTACTTTGGGACAAGGTTCCCAAGATGGCTATCAGTGACCTTCCTGCCAAATCTCCATGATCTAGACATCATTGGGTGCAACTTCTGCCAGTCTTTTCCTCCATTAGGCCGTATGCCAGAACTGAGATCCTTGTACATAGCAGACTCTCTAGCTCTGAAGGATATAGGTGCAGAGTTCACAGGCACCGAACACCCACATCAGGTTCCATTTCCGAAGCTGGAAAACCTGCACCTCCGAGGGCTGCAGAAGCTCCAGACATGGACAGACATTGAGCCAGGGGCATTTCCATCTCTGCAGGAACTTCAGCTTGAGAGCTGCCCCAAGCTGCAAAATCTTCCTGTTGGCCTCAGACATGTGACATCCCTGACCAAGCAACACATAGCAGATATGGCAAGCCTTGAGGCTGTGGATGACATTGCTACACTGAGGGAATTGATCGTTTGGAACACTCCTAATTTGAAGAGGATATCAAACCTGTCTTCCCTTGAAGATATCAACATGTGCCACTGCCCTATGCTGGAGAGTGTGGAGAATGTAGACGGATTACAAACAGTGCACATCTTTGATCATGACTTGCGGGACATGCCCAGATGGATTGAGGCACATGCTTCCAAGCTTCGATCACTGAATTTCACAAGCACAGTTGAGCTGCTGAAAAGGTGCTTGGTTGACGGTACAGACTGGCCTGTGATTAAGGACATCAAGGAAGTTCATGGGTACTCCACTGGTTCCAGCTACATATACTATAATAGGAGTCCTTATATCTTTGAGAGCAATGTGAGTGATGAAGATAACCTCAGTGTCAGAGAGAATGAAGCAGATCCTGATAATGTTGATGATATTTCAGTTTCATCTTCAGGTACCAGTTATCTAGAAATCAGAGGATTCTTTGACTCAAAAGTATTGAAGGAAGGAACTACCAGGGCTGAAGAAATTGTATCGGGTAGGAGTGTCGGGAGCATGCTGGGGCTCACTCATCGTCGCTTGCATAAGCTAGCAGAAGTTGACCCTGAAGATGATGAGGTTGAGGACAGAGCAGATTCAGTTGTGCCACTTCCTTCTAATCCAACAAGAGCTACAGCATCTGCAGCAAAAGTTGGTTGTGTTGTGGCTGATTATCATAATGATCCTGGTTCATTGTCAAAAGCTACAAGTCATGAGTCTGAAGCAATAACCAACAGGGCCGAGCACAAGCACGGGCGGCCGGTTCGGTCGAACAGGGCCCCCAAATAGGAGGGGCTCACCAACCAGTCAGGTGTAGTATAGGTATAGATGTACATGTACTGTATAGGCCTGTAGGTGTATAGTAGGCCCAATCGATGGCACATGGCAGGTAGCAGGCGGCCAGGCCCAAGGCCCCAAGCCCCCAAGCGGCAAGCGGCATGCCCTGCCCCTCTGGCCCTCTCGCTGTCTCGCATCGCAGGCACAGGTACCGCGACGGTACAGCACTGTAGGCCGCATCATCAATTCATCAGTTCATCACGCCAGCCGCCAGGCGCCGCATCGGCGTCCAGGACGCATCCGCAGACCGCAGGGCGCCGCGCCGGCCAGGCAGGACGCCAGGATGGCAGGACTCCATCGCACTTCGCGCACATCGCAGTCTCGCAGATCCCGTCTCGTCCGTGATCGGTGATCCGTCAGTCCGTCTCGTGTCTCGCGCCTCGCGGCAGATCGGTATACTAATCTGATTTCTGATGCAATTAATTTTCAATATTTTAATCAACATTGATGGATAATGACTAATATAATATTGATCCATCTAGGTGTTTAGTTATATTTGTTCTGATTCTGGATTATCTAGTGTTTCGATACAAGATTGTAGTCATGTCTTCTGTAAATCGGTCTAGAAAGTATGAATCTGGTTACCAAAAGCGTAAGAAAAAACAAAGAATAGAGGATTTAACTCAATCTCAAAAGGGGGCTAGGGATAAATTTGTTAGAAAAGAGTCACAAGTGTCCACCGATAATGATGACAATGATTCTAGAGATGTTCAGATGGAGACAGAAAATATTGTTGGGGTCGAGGAAGTTCTTATTGATAACACAAACATTGAAATGGATGACAATGCTGATAACATTGGGGCCAATAGTACGTGAGAGGACAAGGTTATGACAATGGGTCAAATATGAAAGGAAAACATAAAGGGGTAAAAAAGAACAAATGTCTTTAATTATAAGATATGTTGACTCAAGCAATTTCCTCACTTACAACAAGATTTGAACAATACCAGAGTTACCAACAAAATTTTGGTTTCTTATTTACCTCTGAAACATTACAGTCATTGGATGACACGAGTTTGAAATCTTCTTGTGATAATCTTGGGGCTGTCCTTACAAAAGACGGAAAATTTGATGTTGATGCCAATGAATTGTATGTGGAGTTGAAGTTTCTTCAAGATTTCATTCCTAAAGAAAATATGGGTCCTGTTGAAATTCTAAAGTTCCTAAAGCGGTATGACTGTTTTTCCAATGCAAGTATTGCATATAGAGTTCTGTTGACCATTCCTGTGACCGTTGCATCGGCAGAGCGAAGCTTTTCTAAATTGAAACTATTGAAGTCATATTTGCGTTCGACAATGACACAACAAAGACTTAATGATTTAGCTACAATAGCACTTGAGAGTGGATTGCTGGAGAAGATTGATTATGAGCATATCATTGAAGATTTCATTTCAAGGAACACTAAAAGAATGAAGTACTTCAATTAAAGATTATGAAAGCAAAAATCGAATAGGTACGGTTTTTGATATATCTTAGTGTGATATGTATCATATATCTTATTTACAGTCATATTTTTTAGGGAGGTAGGCCTCATTTTAGAGTTTGGTACAGGGCCTCGATTTTTGCCGGCTCGGCCCTGATAACCAATGATGAAATCTGTCATGATAACATAGTGACGTCGGCTTTTCCCAGGCACACAGAGTCCAAAACAGCAAAAGACGTTTCTTCTGAACCTAGCACTGATGGATATGCTACTCTTACCAAATCTGCTGCCCCAATTGGTCATAACTTGGTCCGACAAGGGTCTCGAGCAATCGACAATACTGAAATTGGTCAAGATTTTAACTTCAGTAGTATCCGAAGGAAGGAACACACATCCAAGAAAGGTGAAGGCACCACTGCTGATGTTACTGTCACTAAAGATATTAACCTAGTTCATCCAAGGCAAGTGATGGATTCTAATAAAGGAAAAGATGATTTTGCTGATAACGCTGCAGCTAGCATCTATTCATCAGATATAATAAGTCAGAAACACATTAAAGGCCAGACTGCAACTTCTGCAAATGGAAGCACAAATGCAACTCCAATGCCAAAAAATCCATCAGACAAAGGAGGACCCGAGAAATCTGCTGGTGTCACTGGTAGCAGTTTCATCCAAGAAGCATCTCATACAGTCTTTGTCACTGAACCCACTCGAGATCTGGCTTCAAGTTTAATACACAGCAAACAACAGATGTGGGAAAAAGAGGGAGAAGTTTCTGATGCTCTTGACCCTACTCATGCTGTTGACAACAATGGAAATCAGATGGAGGATGGCAATATCAGTTCGTCAGTCAAGCTAACTCATGAGGAATCATAAGCAATCGGTGCTAGTACAACGAACTGTGATTCAGGGCCTTGCAGATTGCTTGCCGGTTTAGCCTGCAGCAACCAACAGACAACAGCGGAGCCTACGTCTCATCCCATTGATATCACGGAAGCAGCCATGAGAAAGGCAGAAGCCACCACGATAAGGAAACACTCAATGAATGAGGCGGTGAACCATGACCGTACCCACAGGGACGCGCCATGCTCCATCGACGCCAAGGCCGACGATTCTCAACAGGCGGCAAAGGTGTACTCCGCAGTGTGGGTCGACACTGACACAGACACCCTGCGCGCTCGGCTCGTCGACTCAATGCGGCACTTGCGCAGGATGGCATCTCGGCGGCGCCATCGGCAGAGGAAGCGCGGGTCGAATAACAAGTGGAGTATCGGGCCAGCGCTGGTGGTCATCCTCCTGCTTGTCTCCGTGGTGCAGCTGCTGTTCATACTCTGGCTGTACCGGAGGCTCCTGAACCAAAACTAGACAAAATGTATGCTACCACTCTGTTGGAGTCCTTGAAGTTTTGCTTCTCCATTATCTTAAGATAAGTGTATGATTTAGTAATAAGTACCTTGTAGGAATCGCGTGGAGGTGATTCAGCCGACACTCCGACAGGTTTGGGAGGCCAAGACCGCAGTGTGGCCGTGTGGCTAAAAAACGTGGCGGGAGAGCCTTGAAATTTAAAGGATCTTGGCGGCAAAATATTTCGGTAGCGGAGTGCCCAAGTGGGAGAGGAAAAGACGAGCCAAAGCCCAAAAGCGTGTGTGCCTGTGTGGGGGAACCAGAAGGAAACGAAGGAAATAGGATGAAGCGGCAGCAGCACCGGAAGAATTACCCGAGCGGGATCCGGTCGGCCGATGGGCAGACCACGCTCAAATCCTTTCTCTTCAAGCCCAGGTATATCATCGTCTGATTCGCATCCATCCCAATTTCCCCCACTTCGGGGCCAGTTCTTCAATCTGTGTCCCTTGCGTTCCCCTTTTCGTGCTTCAGGGTTGTCGATGTGGTACCGCCGCCGCCGCCGCTGGAGGGGGTGATAGAGGCGCCGATCTGTCCGCCGGAGCCGCCGAAGCGGGAGATTGTCAGAGTTACCAAGGCGATCATTAAGGAGAAACCGACCGCGTTCACCTCGGTGGGCTCCGCGGGGAAGGACGGGTGCGGCGGCGTTGGCGGCGCTTTGAGCGCCGCGGTCTTCAAGCGGTTCCACAGTTCAGCCCCAGGGGCGAGAGCGCAAGCCGGCCACGTGGAGGCAGGGGAAGACGGCGACCTCGACTTCGGCGGTCCAGGCGAGGCCCGGCTGGACGTCCAGGAGACCGGGGCGGAGAGCCGCCGCGAACCCAGGAGTAAGCGGAAGAGCCCCCTTGGTGCGCGTCCAGCCATGCTCGTCTTGCATTTCGCTCAGAATGTCAGTCTTTCACTCGATGATGACAATATCGGTCTATCCAGGCGGCGACGAGCACGGGAGCGACGCCAAGGCCAGACGCGTGGTGGTGCTCGGCGACGACCCGAGGCCGCGGCCGGCGAGCTGGCGGGGGCGCGCGAGGCCCACCCGCGGCTGTGAGGGCGGCCGCGCTCTGTACAACCACTGTAAGATCGATTCCTTCTCCCGAACTCTTAACGGCCGGTGGATCGGTGAGCAAACAGCAACCTGACGCGGTGGTTTGTTTTGGTGGCAGACGCGAGCGGGGGCGGGTGGTGGCACGGCGACATGGAGGGCGTGGACGGGGAAGAGGTCGGCTGGACGGCCGACATGTGGGAGGGGATGGGATCCGTCACGCTCGGCGGCTTGGAGTGGCACTAGCCGCCGCGGCCTAGGACTGCAGAACAGGACCGGCCCGTTACCGCCACGGCAACCGGCAGAGTATTACTAGGAATTAATGAATTAGGCAGCGATGAAGTCGTGGCATGCTATAATTTTGTGAGAAGGCATTTAACCTCAGAGTGAAAGTCTGAAAGACGTATAAAGTGGGAACAATTATACAAGTCTGTCGATAACTGCAGACAGCTGTGTTTCTTATCATGCCATTCTCTGAATCATTCTAAGTTTGCAATTGTTCTCCTTATTCAGACTCAGACATACTATTCTGAAATAGTTTTAGCATGCCAAGGTATAGTTTAATTACTTTGTTGGTTTAGGAATTGCACCACCTATGGGCTGATTTCGATGATGCACTAGCAAACTCTCCCACTCCTCTCCCTTTGTTTTTAAATGCCGACTTTCTAAGGCTGGTATTCGAGCTACACAAAATTTTAGTATTTGAGTTTAGTAGAAATATAGCAGATGGAAAAATGTAAAAGCCATTCTATTTCATGCATCCAGATTTTGTGTAGCTCAAATATCATTCCTCTCTATTGTTGTTCCTATTGCACAGCCTTTTGCAGTGTTATAATTAGTGCTGAATGTTCACGAATGGAAACAGCAAAGCTAACTGCAATTGCCAAGAGAATTACTATCTAACTTGCTATTACTATTTTTAGTTAAAACTCTAGAAAACGGGCCTCTAACAGAATAGCCAATGCAATTGCTATCCTATTTGACATGCTATCCCGCAAGCCTCGGCGGCTAAATTTGGCTAGCCAGCATACTTTGCTATCTTGGTGTATGTGAGGTTGACAGCTAGTGCCATGTTGCATTGCTCCAAATTCCATTCCTTTCTCTTAGAGATATAACTAGTCTGTTGGAATATGTTGGATTATGGAGAAATAATTTTTATGAAGTTGATAGCTAAATGAAGATATGGAACATGAAATTTAGAATGTCTCTTGGAGATGCTCTAGACCGGGTCAGCTATAGATGGCCAAATGGGCCAAGCACGATGGATCGGCCCAGGCATAGCCTGAAAAAGCACGACACTAGCACGGCCCAGGCACAGAGCCAATAGTGCCCGTGCCGGCACGGGCACGATCTAGTGCCATGCCTGGGCCGCAGGTCCCGCCCGCAGTGCCGGCACGGGCACAGCAAGTTAATGGGCTGGCACGATGCTGGCCCGATTGTTGTCAACCGTTGGATATGTTGTATGCTTTTATAAGCGTTGGATTTAGACAAACCCTAGATATAAAAGAAACCCCTCGACTCCTCAGTCCCCAGGCCGTCACTCGCACCCCCGTCCGTAGGCCACCACTCGCGACTACCTGTTCCCCCGCGGCATCTCCTCGACACCTCGCACCTCTATCCCCCCTCCCCCACGCGGCATCTCCTCGCGCCCTCTCCCGAGAAGTGGTAATGCACTGCTGCCCCCAACCCCCTCCCCCCTCCCCTTCCTCCACCCCGGCCACCCCACCACCGTCTACCTTGCTCGGCGCCCCCTCTGCTCCCCAGCTTGACGAGATCTGCAACGGTGGCCTAGGTGACGACGCTGGCGCGAGGTCTGCGGCGTGGCTTGGCGACGTCGTGGGCGCTAAGCTACGTGGTGCGGTGGCATAGCGGGCGCGCGGCTGTGTGGCGCGGCGACACGCGGCAGCGTGGCGGGCCAGGGTCGGCACGAGCACTGTGGGTCGTCGTGCCTAGAGGCACGGCACGGCATGGCACAACCTCCATAGGGTCGTGCCTGGGCCGCAGCTTCGGCACGGCGGCACTAACAGGCACGGCATGGCTAAGCCACCGTGCTCGATAGTGCCGTGCCTCACCGTGTCGTGGCCAACCGTGCCCGTGTCCGTGCCGTGCCATGCAGCCCGGTTGGCTCACATGTTAAAGCTGCACGTCTCACTTCTGTTTCATACAGTATTGTTGTATCAAGAAGAAAACGTCACATGGAAGAATTGTATAAGTTACATGTTTGGTTTCTTTGTGCAAAATATTAAAATAATATGTGCTCTAATATTAGGAACCAACAATTTAAAAAGAATAGGGCCGGAAAGACGAGAGGATTGGAAGATCTGCGGCCCATCAGTTAAGGCGCTAGGCCCAGACCAAAAGTTCATTTTGTAAAGGAAAACTGCCCACTTGCTTGTTCGGTGTCCCTCCATCCAGAGGCCTCCACTGTCCGGCGTCTCTTCCACTCCACTCGACGGGGCTAGCACAGGTGCGGGAGGCGCTAGGGTTCTTAGAAATTCCCCAAATCCTCGGCCGCTTTTGCTTCCTCGGCACCGGCCAGCTGCGCCGTCGTCGATTCCGACCATCTCCGGCGGCTGGTACGTTCCGCTTGCCTCCTCGATGCAGAATTCTCTCTCTCTCTCTCTCTCTCTCTCTCGCGAGCACATACTCTTCATTCAAATTCCCCGTCTCCGATCCGCCTGTTCGCAGATTGGTCGCGGTGGCATGGACTGCTCCAAGAGGAGCGCGGCCGCGGTGGCCAGCCTCCCTGACGACACCCTGGTGGAGATCTTCTCCCGCGTTCCGTTTAAGTCACTCTGCCGCTGCAAGTGCGTCTCTAAGGCCTGGCGCGACCTCATCACTGACCCCCTCAACCGCAAGAAGCTACCCCAGACCCTAGAAGGGTTCTTCTTCATTGTCAACAGCTGCGTCGACGACTCCGACAGTGACAGTGGAGACGATGGCGAAGACATCGGCAGTGATGGAGGCAGCGACGACTTTGACAGTGATGGAGACGGCGAAGACAGTGGCAGTGGTAGAGGTGGCAAAAACTCCGACAGTGATAACGGAGATGGTGAAGACAGCGGCAGTGATGGAGGCGGCGACGATAGCCACAGTGCCAATGGATATGGTGAAGACAAGAGCGGTGACGATGGAGGTGGCGACGACAATGACAGTGATGATGGAGATGGTGAAGACAGCAGTAGTGATGGAGGCGACAACGACAACTTGCGACACCAAGTCTGTGTGCATTTCATCGACATGTTAGGGAGACCCCCGCGTCCTGTGGACCATTGCTTCCCGTTCCTGACTGAGCTGCCGGGGATTGTGAACATCTTTGTCTTGGATGACTGCAATGGCCTCCTCCTCTTTGGCTGTTTCCAGGGATCAGGCGAATCACTTAGCAAGAGCTATATTGTGTCCAACCCTGCGACTGAGCAATGGGTCGTCGTGCCCGACCCTGACATGAAATGGCTGTCGTTCGCCTATTTGGTTTTCGATCGGGCTGCCTCTTCCCACTTCCATTTGGTCCAGATCAGGTGGGACATGATACCAGTGCACATCTACTCGTCTAAATCTGGGGTGTGGAGTCCTGTCAGAAGTGACTGGGGTGACCTTCGCATGGCACTTGGCTTAGGCATCGCATATGCTAATGGCATGCTGTATGCGGTCTTGTATAAGGGGGATCAGATAGCTGTGATGGACGTGGAAGGCAACACAAGGAAGATCATCCCTGTGCCCTTTCAGGAGGGCGATGAGTTCCGGCCGTGTTCTGATTATGTTGGCCAGTCCCAAGGTCGTTTGCATTTGATTTACCATGCTGACCTGGGTCATTATGAAATCTCCCCAGAACAGCAGAATAATAAATTGTTCATATGGGTTCTTGAGGACTATGATACAGAAGAATGGGTCCTGAAGGACACTGTAAGCTTTTTGAAGCTGTTTGGCCAAACAATCAATGGCTTCGAAGTGGTTGCAATCCATCCAGATCAAAATTTGGTATTTCTTCAGCACTTTAACCGGGAGCTGATATCATATAACATGGACAGCAAGGAAGTGTGTCATCTCTGCACTCTTGGAACTGGCTATCGGTCCATCACTCCATATGTTCCTTACTGCAAAGAGTTGTCAACACTTGAAAATAAGCACTGAAATTGTTGCCTGTGGGCTACGCTCCAGCCGAAATCAGATTTTCCAGTTATGTCTTTTACCGGTGCTGGTTATGTAGTAGGATTGGGCGTGATGCCTTTTACTGGTGCTGGTTGTGTATGTGGTCCAATTAATACAGCAACCTGTTCGTAAGCTAACTGTACACCTAGTTGTCTCTATGCTTTGTGCTTCCAGAATTATAAAACTCCTTATATATGACGCGTTCCTCTTTTTATGTGGCTTTACTAGTGGGTGATTACTGTCTGCTGTTCTTTTATTTTTTCCTTAGCCCGGTACATGTTCGTTTATACTGAACCTTTCAAGGCGTTGAAAGCAACACATGGTAACAGAAGATTAAAAACGAAAGCTCTGCCACATTAACCTCAAAACTGTCTAGTGATGAAAAGTACATGACTGAGGTAGCTTTTTTTATATATGCTGCTTGATTGTGCCTATGATATTGCTTCGCTGTAGGCCTGTTCTGTATTGCTGCAGCTAATAGTTGTTATGGTACTTTAACAGCTACTTAGTTTTACTTGTACACGTTAGCTGTATATTAAAAAGACACGGCGCGGCTTTGCTGCGCCTTTGTTGGTGTGCCCTTGTTGGGTACGACGCCATGGACGATGGATTTTTGTTTTGCCAAGACATTTGGGTTGCAGATATTTATTTAGGACCATAGTTAGGATACAACTATCCATGGTCGATTGGAAATTGTGAAGTTGCTGAAATCTAATTAAAATTCTTATACCTTAATATATTTATTGAACAATGTCTAGGTAAAGTCACAAAATTATGGGTAGCGACATTGTAAAAAGTTAAGTAACTCTTCTTAGATACGAATATAAGATCCTATTCCTTTTGTACGAGTTCTCAAGCAAAATGTTTGCTTATCATGTGGTAGTGGTAGCTAGCTAATGAAATCAGGTCTCAGTGAAGTTTGTGATTGAAGTTGTGAAAAATGAGTCATGTTTCTCTTGTGATGTAAAATGCATAGAAATCATCTTGCCATTAAAAACTCTGCTTCTATTGACAACATTGTTGTAAAACCCACTGATAAAAGTTCAACTGTGTATGTAGAGAAAGCCTTGCATTTGCTCTGCATAGAAAACACGAAGCAAAGAATGAAATGCTGAAACATTGTGATTCTCTCAGATGAAAACAAATCTATTGTACTAAAAGGTTGTTGAATAGACATGCCGGCTAGGTTATTACTCTTTTTGGCGATCTATAGTGTTGCTGACATAAAGAATTGTCCCGAACCAAACATTGGGTTCATAAACTGAACTACTAGTGTGACACCAGTTGTTACTGTTATAAACCTGAAGATAGTATTTGTACATACAGACCATGTGAACAGCTCTTTACTCATTGCAAATTATGGACTTTCAAGGCTCTGTGTCGCCAGAGTGACAACAACATTCTGAATCTCATGAACTGAATGTTATTGAGAAATTGTGAAGCCCTGCAAAGGAAGAAAACTCATTAAAGTTATATTGCACATGCTAAGTTAAGCCTAAACAATTTGAATGGATTGATAAAACCAATTTTATTTTTAATTGAACTGGCACAAAGAACTTTGCTAGAATGTGTCAAATGTCTGCTATTTTCTACAGTGAATTTTTGGATAGCATTTAGATCTCCGGCAAAGTTTGAGAAATAAACAAGGAAATTGAAGACGTAAGGACATTCATACATAACAATTAGCTAGCTTATCCTCTCCACAGTTACCAACCAACGAGGCTTTTACACAGGATAGATTTGAAGATTAGAACCTCTGATAATTTACAGAGATGCCTTGTTCTAAAAAAAAAATTACAGAGATGCCTGAAGTGTCATCTGTTCAGCCAGATAAGGGTAACAAATCAGAGAAGGATAATCATAGCCTGAGTCTCTCAACAGCTAACCTTGTAAGCATTAGTGATGGTGCTTCTAATAGCTCATCTTCAAGTGGGAAAAATGAGTTTTGGCTTGTCCGAATGGAGAAGCCTGGAGTTGAAGTCTTGACAAAAGCCCAAATGGTGGATCACTATACCCGAATCCTTATGAAGGTATCATCAACCTAGCTACTATCAGCTGCCATCTTCTGCACCACCGCCTGCGCCTCTGGTTCCCTCTCTCCTCTCCAAGATCAATATGGTGAGTGAGTGTATATTAGCTTCTTTCTCCTGTCCCCTGATTATTCTGGTAAGAAATCCAAAATCAGGTGAATGTATTAGCTTTTTTTTTAATCTGTTTTATTTTGATTCTAAAAATAGGCATTGTGGTGGATTCACAGATTAGTCAAGATACTGAGTAGCTATGCTGGCATTCAGGCTGGTGTCCCTACCAAATGAGGCCTAAGAGTATGAAGAACAAACATGAACTTGTTCTTTTTTAGTTTCCCAATAAGAAGCTTCCCTGTTAAGTTGAAGTTCTCTGGGTTCCCTGATCCCAAAGGGATGTTCCTTGAGACAAAAAAAATTATATGAGTTGATGTTAGTGATTACTCTACTGCGAACAAAATTTTTTTTCTAAGCTATTAGTCCCTCCTATTTTGTTGTCACCTTTTGGTAGTACAGTACAACTTAGGTTATCAACACAGTATTTTCTTGTCAGCTGTTCTCATTAGCTTTCTTTCCTCCCTTTGCAGTTAAGATCGGCAGACCTGGGTATAAAGTAACCAAACAATATGATCCTGCAACACAGCAACACTCATTTCTCTCTGAGGTTAGTATTACTTGCGTTCGCATTATTTATCGAGTCCTCACCTCACACATGGTTCTACATTGAATATGTAAACTGCAGGAATTTGGTTTAACTCCCGATCAGACATATCTACATGTAATTTTTTGGTGTATTCCTCTTTGTTGTCATGTAATTTAGGGCACCTAACAATTTTCTTATGCCAAGGATCTTATGTTGATTTCAGCTAAGTTAGTTCTTATTTGCATTTTAAAGATCATCGCATGTAGTAGTCTCTTTTTATATATAAAGAATACTTAAGCTCAAATTTTGAAACCAGTGTTTATCTTATCTAGAATTTATCTTCTGATTGATAAACTAGCATAGTTGATTTGAGGATCCTCCAAATTATAATATGCAATAAGCATAGATTTTTAGAATGTACAGTACAATGCTTTGTTCAAACATTACCAACCGAGATTTGTTCTCTTTATGTATCACAATATGGTATACATATGATATATATAGGCAATTTTTTACAATTTGACCATTTTTTTGAAGAAAATTTATGTTTGGCATCTGGGAGACTTAAACTCATCTTTGGACCATGGGGGTCGGCGTCAGGACTCATGGTGTCGAGTTAACACGTCTCGGCGCCACAGATCTTGGCTCCGAGGTGCCTGACCGTGCACAGCAGGGCATCCTAGGTGGCGTTCGCGTGGCCGGTACCTCGGCGCCAGAACACATCGGCGCCATGTATTCTGGCACCGAGCATGGATTCAAAACCCATGGCCAAGTTTCCCTTGCCGAGGCTGCTCTCATTTCTTCCTCCTCCCTCTCGGTTTCTTCCTCTCCCTAATCCGCCCAATCTCTTGAATCGACGAATTTTACCTTGGATACTTGGATTTGATCCATACATCTTCGCGAACAAGGTATCCTCTCTCCCCTTATCAAATTTTACGCATTGATTTGGTATATATTACGTCTATTTTGCAACCCTAGATACGTTAGTACCTAATGTTTGAAGTGATTTTTTTTTATTTTTTGTATTATGTAATGGTAGGATGCCAAGGCGTGGTAAAGCTAGTAAGCCAAGGTAATATCTTATCATCGTGTTATATTATGTTTTCATTTATGTGCAACAAATAGAAAAACCCTAGATTTAGGGTTTAATGTTCATTGCTTTCGGTTCTTAGAACAATTTTGGTTCAATTGTAGTTATGGCCAGATGACCGGAAATGCCTTCGACCCGTTACCTCTGCCTAGTGGTGTTCCAGTGCCCATGTGCTTTTACGGCGATCCTTGCAAGGTAGCCAAGTTCGATGAAGAGGACACGTATAGGCAGAGGTATTGTATGTGTGCCAATTTTGCATTTGAGCCTACACTTCGTCAGCGCCGCATTAACAAGATGGTGGGAAATTAATGTTGTTTAATATTTATTTTGTGTCAAATGAAGTCTTGCATGATTTATTTGTTTTGTAACAATTGTATTTATTGCAGACCCCTCCACCGCTCTATGATTTTGAGCAGTGGATCGACACTGAGATCAAGCCGGAAGACAAGGAGTGGATGCAAAACTGTTACGGTGGGAGGCAAAGGACAAGGAGATGATGGAGAAGAGACGTAGAGAGGAGGCTCTAGAAAAGGAGCACAAGGAAGAGGAGGAAAGGAGGCGTGTTGCTTCGCACAGGGAGGAGAGAGAGAGAGGAAGCTTGAGCGTGCGCAGCGAGCGAAGGCATCGATGGAGGAGAATCCCGATACCCAGAGGACGGAAAAGTGGCCTCGTTGCACTCAGTAGTCTTCATAACTTGCTAGTTCTATGGTATATTCACGAATAATGTTGTCTAATCTTGGACTTTGCATTGTGTTGTCATGTAATACACTTTTAGTTTGTCGTCATGTACTTCAAATGTTGTTATGTTGATTAATGTGCTCTATTATTGGACCTTTCATAGTGTTGTTGGTTTCATTATTTGTTGTCATAATATTGAGTTTAATATTGCATAGGTAGTGAAACGAGCTCACGTAGTGCAAATAAAACGTAACGAAGTAGTGGATTACCTAATTCAACACACACAACACATGAAATGGCATGTGATAACATGTACCAAACTAGGGTATAGAGGTCCTGGACTAAACCTAACATGCCTTAGGTAATTGAAGCAAACAACAAGCATATGAAATGACATGTGAGAACATGTGCCAAACAAGGGTACATATTTCCTTCGACTAACCCTAACATGCCTTAGGTGGTTAAACCAAAAAAACAAACACATGAATGTGGCCCGTTAAAAAGATTGGTTTGTCCTAGTAGTGTGGCCACATAGCAAATTGTGTTACACCTTCTCCACAGTATCCTCCCATTGTTGGTGGTGGCGGCGGCGGGGGTGGCGACGGAGGACCCTTGTTCCTGTGATTAGGGCAGATGCAATATGGATCATTGCAGAGTTCCTCCTGTGAACGGGCACCATTGTTGTCGTCTTCCTGTTCATCGTCCTTGTAACCGTTGCTAACTTTTCTTTCTAGATCAAAGATACGGTCCTGTAGGTAGTAGATGTACTCCGCATGCGGATAAATAGGTCGAGGATCGACCCACCTAGTGAACCCATAGTTTTCTTCGGCCAAGGAAGACTACCATAAGTATGTCATGTAAGTTGTATAAAAGAGGAACATATTGAAGAAACAAATAGTAATAGCAATTACCCATGCTCGCGGGCATTTGAAGAAACAACGACCTCCATCTATTCCCTCGGTGAACATCTGCACTAGACAGTCCTTACCATGCATGCATTTTGGCCACTCTTCTTTTCGTTCATCGTATCCTCTCAGTGGTGTCTCTTTGGTGAAATCACTTTTGCTCTCAACTGGGAACCTCTCATAAAGAGTTTCCTCAAATAAATCGGGACCAAGAGAATGCTCCCACATAATGGTAGTTCCCTTCCCCTTTTCTCTCCCTCTGGACAATACTCTAGACATGGGTACTGCAACAAAAGAAAATACCGAGGAGTGCTCTTCTTCCTTGTTGTGTATGTGAATGAGAGGGAGTGAGGGGTTATTTATAGGTTGATAGGAGGAATGGAGGCCTCCCAATGTGCCATGTCAGCGATCCGTGTGCCTCTTCATCTCAGCCCTTGGATCAAACAGTAATAAGATGGATCGTGGAGATGGAGTGGAGTTGTGCTTCCTTGCATGCCTTTCTATCTTAAGCAAATCGTCATTCCTATAGGTGTACTATTGTCTGAAAAGCCCAGATTCGTTCACTGTTACTGAAAAGTCTAGATTCATCTGCAAAGCGTCTGTACGATACGATTGGACTATACATGTTCTAATGAATTTATATTTAATATGTGTACTATATTTGTGCCTTTTTAGCAGTGTATTATAATTAATGATTCACGGAAAAAAATCACAAAAGTTACCCTTGTTTCAGGAGCATCCACGGTTATAAATAGAGACATCAATATATAATCTAAACATTTAATCGTCCAAAGAGCACAATACAACCACATCGAACATCACAATCAACATAACATGTCCTGCATAGTCCAAATAATCCACAATGTCCATACAGTCCCAAATAGTTATAGGAAAGTAACTACATACTTTCCAAATCTCCACACATACAAAATAAGCAAAGTCCATGCAGCCCAAATAGTTTGTGGCATCGAATCTAAGTTGGTACCATAGTCTTAACCTACAAGTTGTCGTCACTGCCTCCTAGTCTTACTCTTGCCCTTGTGGTCAAGAGCGCCGGTGCCTGGAGTGTACGTGCAAGGCGGACGACGTCTTCTCATTCCTGCAACCTACGTAGGCTGAGTCGAAGGAGCGTCCTGGAGCTGAGACTCGGCAAGCTCATCATAGCCACGCTCCTTGGCCTCCTTGTCGTCGTCCTCGTCTCCGTGGTCTTGGAAAGTGTCCACAGTCGCAGCGCTAGTACCTCCGTAGGAAGAAGAACCGAGGCTTATAGGTGTGTCCCATTGTCGTCCGTGTGGCCCGTGTACGTCCATCGCCGCGCTAGTACCACAACCACTAGCTGCAACACGCCGTAGCCTACGTGCTAGCCTCTGTCATGCAAAGATGCAATTATTAAGCCGTTGAGTGCATACAGATAAGTTATTATTCAAATAAATGACATATCATCATCATACTACCTCTGTTATGCTAGATGTCATGCTTGAGCAGTGAGATATTAAGTACAAAACCACTAGCTCAAACAACTTATTTAAGCATAAAACAACAAGAGTGCTAGTGTCGACTTACTTAAAAAAGCTGTTTGGTGTGTGGTCGTTCACGCCTGTCCTTGGAAACCGTTCGATCTCAATCACAGATTGCCTCAGCGCGTTGCCCTGCAAAAAAAACAAAAAACAAATATTAATGCGTTTAAAATCTGAAATTAGAATCTTACTGAAAATTTGATATTGAAATTACTGGTTCAAAATGCAAACTGAACTTCATAACTGAAATTAGAAAGTTGCTGAAATGGATTACTGGAAATAATGGATTGAACATACTAAGCTGTTTTATCTCTGAAATGAGTGCTGATCTATCTATACATCACAAGCAAGAATTATGAATGCTGAAGTCAGCCGTTTTGCTCCAATACTACTCAATACTAAGTTATGAAAAAAATAATCTTTGTCCTGCGTACAATATACATAAATTCAGTATTTGT